GCATCCAAAATATACTTCAAAAAGTAAATGAAGGAAAGTAATGATTGGTTAAGTATAAGATACACAATACAGAAGTCCTGTACATCAGTGTGAATGTTAGGCTTAACAAACATCTCAGCCAGGACAAACATGAATGCTAGCTACATGAAATAGGATCAAGGAGCCACAGGACCTTGTGCCCACAAAGACCACCTCTATGACAGAGTCTGTGAGACTTAACATTTCCACTGTCATCTTCCTGAAAAGCTAAGTCAATTGCCTCTTCCTTGTGCACAGTGAAACTGTAGCAAAAGAAAGACTATGTGTGGGCTGAGGAAAAAGCTCAGCCCCCCCGAATTACATAAACCGGGTGTGGTGGTGTCTGCCTATAATCTCAGCACTTGGGAGGTGGAAGTCGGAAGACTAGAAATTCAAGATCATTTTCATTAGGCCAGCCTAAACTACATGAGACTGTCTCAAAAAGAAAAAAGAAAAAGAAAAGAAAAGAAAAAAGAAAGGCAAGACTGTGTATTCTGTGGCCTTTGCTTAACATTCAAAGAATATTCACATATAACAATCTGTGGCCCAAACAGCCGATTGCCTATCCAAGTTTCAGTATTTTATTGTACAAATACTCAAAATAAAGGCTGGTTGCTATTTAACCTTTGATTTGGAAAAAGTCTCACCATTTTTTTTTTAAGTCTTAAAAATAGAACTCATTCCAAATAGCCTGCTAAGACCCCTTGGCCTGTCTGCCAAAATGCACTCGGAATTAATTAATCCTACCCATACTGAAAAGACATCCAACAGCTACTAGGTCTGCAGACAAAGAAAATCACAGATCTAACCTTCCAAGCATTAATACCTCTACAATATTGGTAGCCTTTTTTCTTTAAGAGAGGGATTGAAGTAATTAAATAGCACCACGCACATTCCATATAACAGGGGATGGAAAGAATGGAGCTCATGAAGTCTGGCCAAACCTTAAAAACAGTTGTTCCCTCTGTGGCCCAGCATGACAAGCTGTCTAGTCATCAGCGCATAATGTTGCCAGCCTCTGACATACCCAGGGGCCCCTTGATGAGCCCTCTCTGGCTGTGAGTCAAAGACCAAGCTCAAAGGGATGTTCCCACAAACCCCTGATATGCAAAAAAAACAGCACAGTAACCATGCAGCTTCACCTGTGCAGACTACCTAACTGAAAATGTTCAACCCATGCTGGCCAGGCAAGGTAGGTAAACACGTGCAGGCATGTGTCCAGGAAGGTCTGGGAAACGTGGGGGGGGGGGGGGTTCTCTCAGTGAAGGCATGGATGCAACATAACAGTCAGCAGCAAATGCCACTGTCCTTGAGTCACATCAGCTCCTCTCAGTGTCTGTGGCAGGAGAAGGGAATAGTTCAGGTGACTCAGGCAGGAACCAGGACGAAAGTAGAGAGGGACATATAAGATCAGGGAAAGAAGCAGACATTAACCCCCCCCCCCACACACACACACAAATGCCACTTTGCAAAGGACAGTTCTCAGGGAATCCTTGAAGAGGGCTCGCTGACCATGCTGGTGCACAAAGCTGCCTGGACTTGAGACAAGCACACCAACAGCCCCAGGTGGCAGCAATGTCATACCAGGCACACCAGAAGAGCAAACAGAGAGAGACCTCAGTCTCCTTGCCATTTCTACAAGGTCCATAAGGAAGCACATTATAGAACCTGAGCTGATTGAGGGAGGCAGTTTAGATGCACTGATTACATAGATGCCCCCCCACCCCCACTCTGGTGATGTAGGACTGTGTTGTCAGGAGCCTAGCTTTGGACACACTCCATGTGCCCATGTTTTGCAGTACACTGGTTGCTATCTTCGCATAGACTCTCAGAAAAGATGATCCTGTCATATGACCCCAGGATCTGGGGCATGAATATGAGCACCTACAGTTAGTATGAGCTAGGCTGTCTGCTCTCAACTCTTCTTACACTGACTCACCCAGAAACTGTGAATTTTCCTATAGTGAAAAATTAGCAACCATTTAAGAACAGAGCTGGGATAAATCAAGCTGTCTGCAACTCTGAACAGTTCTTCCAGTTGAGCCATTAACATGCTGTGGAGAAGGTAAAGAGGGGAAAGTTGGCTTTCCCAACAGTGAAGCCCTAGGGGCTGCAGGAGCATGCTCTGCTGCAATCCATCACACGCAAAGCTCACAGACCACCCTAGTCTCACGTCCCAGTGGCTGCATTCCTAGGGGCTCCTGGTGGTCTGGGGCTGGCAGGGAGAGTGGGTATGAGGCTCTGGTCTCATGGTCTCCCCCATACCATGGTGTGCATGGGCTTGCTTGTGCCACTTCTGAGGTGACGTAGAGACAGCAGAGTAGCTGAGCTCAGGTCTTCAGGGGTCTGTGGGCCTTGAACTGCTTCTGGTGGCTGGCTGCCAGTGACAAATAGCTGTTCTCACTTGAGGGCCAGCCATGATGCTTGAGTACACAGGCTCAAGGTTGGCCCAGACTACTGTTACACAACTTAGTCATAGGTGATGTCCAAGTGAGTCAAATGTTTGCAGAAAGATGAATCTTCACTACACAAAACAGGAGACACAGGGAAGATGTACCGAGGTATGGCTCCCCAGATTCTCAGCAATGTCAGTGCCCCGCACAGCTTCACAAGGTACCACCTGTTCCTAACCAAACCTTCAGGTACAACCCTGCTGGATGACAGGGGGCAGTGACTATCATAATACTCGACTACACCTCCCCATCTCATCATGTGCTGCCTTCATGCTGCACATGGACAGACACTCCCTAATCTAGTTCATCTCTTATTCATTTGACATGATTCAATGGCACTGAAACCCAACATATGCATCCCAGCCAAGACCAAGCCATTCCATACTTGCTACCTACTATGACAAGTTAATTAAAAGGGTGCAATGTTGAAGAGTCTGTCTAGAGAGACCACGTAAGGAAATGCAGGGTTTCAGTGAACTACAACCAACATTCCACCTAACACCCCAGCCTAAGAACATGGGAAAGGCCAAGTGCAGCCTCACTGTACTAACAGCACCCTTTTAACACTAAGAGTCTGCAGACCTCTCCCCACCAGCAAGCAGTCAGTTCCTCAGCAGTGTGTCCTCTAATTCAGTTCAGCTCTGACATCTACTGCCTGGAGAGTGTCAGATCCCAGGTTGGGGGCTCTGTCCCTACTATGTCCACACTTCAGTGCCAGATGTAAGCCCTCTCCTGGTGACCAGCTGTGTCACCCTTTCTGATGACCAGCAGTTATGTCAGGGTTCCTACAACCCCTCCTTGGCTTGTACTAGTTTTCTCAAGCAGTTCAGAACTTACAGAATACTAACTTATGTTGACTGGTTCATCATGAGGATAATTACCAAGGATACAGACAAAGAGATGCAGGAGGTCAGGTATGGGTACAGGGTGGGGCTTCCATGCCCTCCGTGGGCACCCACTCTTAGGAGAGCCTCCAGTTGTTCAGCTATCAGGAAGATGTCTGAAAATGTCTTTAGGGACTTTATGGAGGCTTCATTATATGGGGTGGGTAACTAAGCCACTAGTCATCAGTGATCCATTCAACCTTCAGCCCTTCTTCTGAGGTAAGGCTGAGGGTCTTCACATTCCAGTTTGCCCCTGTTTTCCTGTAACCAGCTCCACCCTGAAACTACTCTAGTGGCTGTGGCTACTGGCCAGCAGAGGGATCATTAACATGGGAAAATACTTCACTTTTAGATTCCCAGGATTTTAGGAGTGAAGCAGAATATCCCATGCTTCAGTGACTTTCCCCAGCATACATCATATGCCAGGGAACGAATCTCATTAAATGTACAGTGACTGAAATAATAAGTTTCTTCTCTGACCACAGTGGAATTAAAGTAGAAATTTGGAAATCCGTAACATTCATAGATATATACAAATTAAATAGCAGCTCTGAAACAACCAAATTAGTAAATTCCTAGAGACAAATGAAAATGAAAACACAACACAGGAAACAAGCTGAGTTCACACGGGACAGATCACAGAGTACAGGGGA